GTTGTGCACGGCATCCTACTAACCGGTCTGTAGCGGTGTGTCAAATTTAAGCACAATCGGTCCAGCCATTCTTGACACCTAGAAGCGTCACACTGCACGTGCGCACGTGCAAAATGGGTTCCATCTGACTTGTGCACGGCACCCTACTAACCGGCCTCTAGCGGTGTGCCAAATTTGACCACAATCGGTCCAGCCGTTCTCGAGATCTGGAAGTGACCCGTGCACGTGCGCACGTGCAGTTGCACACCAACCATGACACATGGAAATGCATTGCCTGGTGGGTCCCTACACCCATGCCAAGTCTCAGCGCATTCGGTCTAGTAATAATATAGTTATTGTACTTGTTACAAAATTGACACGTCTTCGTTTTGCACGTGGCACGTGCATTAGGGGTCACCCATACGCATCGAGTATAGCACACTACGTGTAAGAAGGAAAGAAGCTACCCCATACCAAATACCGCAAGTGAATGGGTTCAGTGGTTGCAGAGATATAAGCGTTGCAAATGTGTTTGATATAAGCGTTGCAAAAATGTTTGCACGTGCGCACGTGCAAACTGGATCCCATCTGACTTGTGCACGGCACCCTACTAACCGGTCTCTAGCGGTGTACCAAATTTGAGCTCAATCGGTCCGGCCGTTCTCGAGATCTGGAAGCGTCACCCTGCACGCGCGCACGTGCAGTTGCACCCCAACCGTAACACATGGAAACGCATGGCCCGGTGTGTGCCTACATCCTTGTGTAGTTTCAGCAGAATCTCCTCAGGAATTACCGTGGTATTGTCATTACAACAAAAGTGACACCTCTCCGTTTTACACGTGTCACGTGCAGTAGGAGTCACCCGCATGCATCGTCCATAGTAAAATACTTCTAAGAAGGGTATACGCTACCCCATACAAAAAACCGCAAGTGTATCGGTCCAGTGGCTGCGGAGATAAAAGTCGTACAAAACGTCCCCAAGGCGGCCGGCCGCTAATATTTAACATTAAATTCGTGTCGCATCCTTCTATGGGAGGTATCCCTGTCACCTGTTCGTATACTGTCTGAGCCAAGGCCATATATAGGCCTGAGCTCAAATCTCGTTAATGTCGTGTTTTTTTACTTAATTTCCCAAAAACGGCACAAAGCGCAATAACGTTCTATATATCATTGGAAAGAGCATTAAAAGTTGTATAATCTATCAACTTTTCACGATAATATTCTTTAAGCGTAAAAAGTTATTAAGCAACAAAGACGCTCCCATTGACTTTCCATGTTAAAAATTTTCATTTTCAGACGAACCCCATAAGCACAAAATAGTTTTTCAAACTTTCAAAAGCATACCAGCATGTACTGTGCTCTTTTCTCGACAACATTTAAAAGTTTAAACAAAATCGTATCATACAGTTTTGTACAATGAACAAATGAAAATGACTCTGCAAAACTGCCCATTGACTTAACCCGCGCACCGACGGGGGTCTGCGCCAACTTAGTACCGACGGGGGGGGGGCGGATGACCGCCCCCCCCGAGATCTCGAGAACGAAGCAAGATAGCGACAAGCGGTAAACGGCATCGGATACGCACGGACAAGATCTACAATTTTTACTAAGGTCATTTTCAGGTCAGGTCAAAGATGACGTCACAGGGGTCGAAAAAGTCAAAATGGCGGCGCTAGATATGGAGAGGGTTTTTCTCGAATAACTTTCGAAGTAGTCAAGATAGGAACAAACTAAGGGCATCATCGTGATCCTCTCGTCAATCCGCATCGAATGATATATATATGTTGACCTCGAAAGGTCAAGGTCAAAGGTTGACCTCAGGTCACGTGACCTCGAGGTCATCATGTATATCATTCGATGCGTCTTGACGAGCCGAACACAATGAGACCATCCGCGCGGCTGTATCTTGTTCCTGTAAGGAGTTATTGGCAAAAAACCTTTGGTGACCTTTGATGACGTCACATGACCTTACAGCTGCCCAACAGCAAAACAGACCTCAAGGTAGTGAAGGTTGATCGTATGTGAAGTCATGTATGGTATATGGGGCCATTCCGACCCGTTTTAGTGGTAAAAACAGGGAGTTGATTTTTCCCCCATTGACTTATAATGGGAGGTCGCGAAATTGACCTGACCTTAGGTCACCGACATCAAAATTCTGAGATATACAAATTGTAGCTACTAATGACCTAATAACATCCTGCGACTTTCAAAGGCCTCCGACATCTACTGTAGCTCTGGCACGGTGACAAAGTTGCAAAAAAGTGACTTGAGGTTGGGTCATTCAAAGTGACCTGGTGACCTGACCTTAAAAGTTAGGAGGTTCAAACTTGCACACCATGTGTAAAATTGATGAGAGAATAGTCATACCAAATTTCGCGGCGCTACGCGCCGCGGTTTTCCCGCTATCCGCGAAAAACCTCAGGGGGGGGCGGATATCCGCCCCCCCCCCGTCGGTGCGCGGGTTAACATGGCAGGCGAAACAGTTCCAACTTTGACCTCGTGCAAAGCACCGTGCTGAGGTTCTGAGGGGTATACGGCGCACACTGGCGTGTACCCCAAAGTGTTTGTCATAAAATACTTGGAAGAAAACCACCCCTCAACGACTTCGTTTTTCCGCCATTCGCCGTCGCGTAAAAAGTGTCCTAAGCCCCCATAGACTTACTATGGGGAAAATGGAATCGCACGTGCCACGCGCCACAGATTTTACATCGAGTAGCGACCGGTGCCATCAGGTAGATCGCCTTCGGGAGCCCATACCCTGAAATTTTTTCGAACCTGGCAAGTACCGTTTAGGCCCCACCCAAGTTGCCCCAATTCGCTGCCAAGTATGCAAAACATACCCCGGTGAACGACTGCTCCGGTTTTTTTTCAATAGAAAAACACAATTCTAACGAATAGTGTTTGTCTAATGAAGAAACAACCTGCGGTTATAATTGACCTTGACCTAGCTTGACCTGAAGTGACCTCAGCAGCAAAAATCGCCTTTTCCCCTCCCCGGTATGCCTTAGTGCAGCCGGGATGCAAAATTTAAAAAAAAAAATGGTCAGGTAGTGTCACAAAGAGGTTCTAGCTGGCTTGGCACCAGAAAACGGCATCGTCATCGGTATATGATAAGCAGCACACTTGATATCCAACGGTGACCCAAAACAGCAACATTTTTTAGTTTGACCTGACCTGGAAGGTCAATGACTGACCTGAGAAGGTAAAACTGGGTATCATTGGATTCGTCTCTTCCCAAAGAATCTTTTTGGTCTTTACCGCTAAGCTCTATCTCCAACAGGAACGAAATGGCGCAGGGGGGTGGCCCCCCCCATGTGCGTTCTAGGATGGGAAAATGGCATGTGCGGGCGAGGGTTAACCCTCGCCGGACCTATTGGTTTTCTACATACGCGCCGGCCGAGGGGGGGGGGCGGGTACGACCCCCCCCCCCTCGCCGTTTCGCCCCTGGTGGAGCTAGCGCGTCGCGGAAAAAACGAGCGTGTGTGCCGTTACGAGACGCAGAGATTGGTACCCGATTTTAAGGTCCTAGGTCAACCGGTGACCTCTGAGGTCAGGTCAAGTGCCCCAGGGTACGGTTCAGTTTTTGGTGAATAACTTCGCAAAAAACGGCCGCAGAGCGCCGATTTTGGCAGCATCGTGTTCGCCTCGCTCAGGCGCGTCGAATGATATACTTTTTGTCCGGGTCAGGTCAACTTGGGGTGTTGACCTCAGGTCAAGGTCAGGTCAGCACCCCCAGGTCACGAAGTTGGTCGAAAGAGGTCATGTCGCATATCATTCGATTCGGCAGGCCTTCCTGAGTCCATTGGTGCCTTTCCCGACTCGCTAGCTCAATTTGATCAAGAGTTATTGACGAAAAACTAATTTGACCTTGATGACGTCATAAATGACGTCACGCAAGGTCAACATTGCAAAAATGACGCATCTAACCTTGCAAGAAGTGCATCAAATCACGATTCTGTGTGCTTGAGATAGTTGGAGATCGTTCCCGGCGCCAGAATAGCAGTTTGAATTTTTCCCCATTGACTTATAATGAAGTCAATCAGAAATCATGACGCCACTAAAACCTCGATATCTCAAAAAAAAATCCGACTGATTTTTTTTTTTTGAAACTTTGTTACAATAAACTTCAATCCATTCCCAACATGTAGGTACCTACCCAAATTTTGGCACCGGGCTTTATTAAACGGCGGCGCACTAAGCATATTAGGCGCGGCTACCAGGTTTGGCGAGCTCCCGGGCCGCGATCCCAGCCCGGTGACCGGTTCGGTAACTCTCCGGTCGGCCGGGCGAGCGGACGGCACCTGTGCGTGCAGCAATGCGAAATCAGATGGGATGGAGCACTGGAGCGCTTCTATTTTCGATACGGCTATCCCATGCCTGGAATGCATTGATGTATCGGAGAGCGAGCTGCAGGCAGCTTTCAATTTAGACGTGACTCGTTTTCGTGTACGCAAATGACCCGGAACGAAAGCGATGCACTCTGACTGAACTGAAGCACAGTGAAAGTTTGTCTCGGGGCACGAAATCGTAACGGAAATCCCTATACGTAGAGCCGGCTGGCAGGTGAACAGCGTCCCCAATGTCTAGATTCCCCTTCGTCAAGCGGCTCGAAGTGAGACCCCGCCGTTATCCTGCCGAATTAAAGCCGTTTCTTCCAATCATTCAGCTGTTTGGTGACTGGCTGAGCGCCCCAGGCGTCCTCAGCAGCGTCCCTTGTTATCGGCACATAAATCCGGTCCCTCCCCGCCCGGTTTGGGCCGTCCCGTCAACACAGCCCACTCGCCTATCCATCACGAGCCGTATGTATCCCGGGGGAGACCGGCCGGCCGCCGGGCAGAACAGCGCCCCCCTTTGTGACGCCCCCGGGGGCGGCCGACGCCCGACGCCCTCCGTCAGCGCCCATCGGCGCCCGGCAGCCGCGTCCACAAACCGACCCTTCTGCGAACAATCGGCCGGCTGGCTGCATTTATTTCCCGATCTCGTCGACCCGTACACAGAGCCGGCACCACAAACACCCGAGCGTCATCTCTTGCGATTTTTATTTGTCTTTCACGGGATTTTGGTAGCACACACTCCTACACAGATGGGCCGTGTGGCGCGGCTGGCGGGCGGGGGCGGGGGCGGGGGCGGGGGCGGCGGCAGGCCGGCCGGCCCCTCCGTCGGCGAGCTATCGTCGGCACCGACGGCCCCATACCGCCCGCCAGGGGTGCCAGAGACGCGTCGGCGTACACACTACAGTTGCGTTACATGTTTTTGTACTTTCGATTTTTCTATTTTTATACATGAGGTGCTTTGTAGCCAGTTCATGGGTCGATCCGCCGCTCGACACTATTGGCCGGAGCCGGCGGTCGGCGTATTCGATGAACAGAGATCAACAATGATTTTGTAGGTGCCAACAGACAGTAGCGGGTGCGTTAGCGCTCATTGTGCAGTAAGAACATTAAGTGGCGTCCGGTCCAATACGCGAAGTGCCACGAGGTACACGCACGGAGCACGCACAGGACATCGACGCGTCTCCAAATTACAGAGGCAGTGTTCAACACCGACTCCAGCCCGAACAAACAAAACAAATAACGGTAACAGAACGGTGCTCCAGCGGTAGCGATCACAATACAGCATGATTAGTGGGATTTTCACAGAAAACAATGACTGAAACGCCGATTCACGTCGCGAAAAGCAGGTATCACGAGGCTGTAAATGCTTGCAGAGCGTAGATGCTTTCAGCAATATTCAAAGCCGTAATTGAAGTTACACATGGTGAACTAAAATACAACTGATCACAAAGATTTGCACAATTGACTGACCAAGTTCATAGCTGTCCCATTCTTGGGACTTTTGATGATCACTTAATGCTCCATTTTCTTCACCCAAGAAAAAGCGAACCAGTAGAGAACTGCAAAACACCAACATATTCCTGTTTAACAGCACACAAGTGTTCCCATGCGGGGCCCTTCACCAGTTAATGCACCACTACTTAGCAACTGCAGGTACTGTGTACCTGTTCCCCAGTTGGTCAAATCGCCGCATACAACGCGACTGCCGCCAATATGGCGAAGGTGGATCCCCTATCACATGTCCAGGTCAAACATAAGCTCATTGTTCAGCATATCCTTCTGTTTGCGGTCCTGCTTGCGCTTGTTTTTCCTCTTCTTCTCCTTGCGGCTCTGGGAGACGGGTCCGCCGCCGGTGCTGCCATCTGTAGCCGATGACTGGAACTCGTCGTTCTCGGAGGTGTCGCCATCGCTGCTGTTGCGGCGCGCCACCTGGCGGGGCAGCGCCGGCTCCTCGCCGTCAGCGTCAGCGTCATCTATCGACGACGATCGGAACTCGTCGTTCTCGGAGGTGTCGCCCTCACTGTGGCGGCGCGCCGCGCGCTGGCGCTTCTTCTTGGCGCGCTGACGCTCCGTGCGTGCCGTGTCGTGCAGGATAGTCGAGTTGGTCCTGCCGTAAAAGGGCAGCACGTCATAGATCCAGCATCACGGGGTGCTCAACATGCCAGCGAACGTGGACGCTTTAAAGCCTTCAATCTCAGGAGCCTCGGGCATACGGTACGAGTCGGCCGACCAACGGAAAGCAGCAGAGCAAACGCGTAATACATGATACCGCACTCGGCACAAGCCTGCTGATATGAGCTTCAGATTCTGCGCCAATTTTTACCCTTTTATTCCATACTCTGCCCCTGCACGTCACTCTGTTCTATTCTACATCCTCTACTCTACGATATACTACTCTACACCTACTCTCCTGCAGTCTCTACTTTTCGATAAAAACTCTACTCAAACCACTCTGCTTCCTCCTTTTCTACCTGTTTCTACTTGAGTCTCTGACGCTCTACATCCACAGTATACAGTCGCATGCAAGTCTACCCCACCACCCACTTATCATACCGCGGTACCACCTGTGAGCTGCACCTGACTGTCCACACAGCAGCGCCTCAACTCCATCCTCCCCCCCCCCCTCCCCTGCACGCACCTGTAGCGTTTCTCCACCACGTGATTGCTGAAGCTGACCGACTTTTTGATGGTGGCCTCCTCTGCCTCGTCGAAGGTCACCAGCGAGCCGGTGACCAGCGAGCTGCCTGATGGGCTCATCAGCTCGTCGGCAGACGACTCGCTGCAGTGCCGCTTCTTCAGGATGCCCTTCTTCTGCAGTGACTGGGGACATACAGCAGACGGGGTTAGTTACAGGGTATAGGACAAGTCTATTGAGGTGGGTTCGGGGTGCACTAAGGCAGGCTAGGGGCGTAGACGGGGATAGGGGGCATTGTCGACGGGTACAATGTGGTGGGCTGGGGGTGTAGTGGTGGTAGGTGTAGCCGTGTAGGCATATTTCGAGTTGAAGTGTGAGTGTTATTACGGAGCGAGCGAAGCGAGCGTAGTCTTTCCTTAGATTAACGGAAATTTCTGAGTATGAGCGGCCGGCCGGCCGGCCGGCCGGCCGTGGTCACGCTTTTGCGAGGCTTATATCTCAGCAACCACTTGACCGATTTACATGCGGTAATTTTTGTGGGGTAGCTCCATTCCTTCTACCAAGTATTGGACTATTCCCGATGCATGTGGGTGACCCCTTATGCACGTTCCACGTGCAAAACGAAGAGGTCTCACTTTTGTAATTGTTGCAATATCTCGGTAACTACTTGGCCGATTGCGCTGAAAGTTGGCATGTAGGTAGGCACCCACTAGGCACTGCATATACATGTGCCGGAGTTGGGGTGCTGCTGCACGTGCGCACGTGCAGGGGTCGTTTCCAGATCTCGAGAACGGCTGGACCGATTGCGCTCAAATTTGGTACACGGTTAGGGACCGGTTAGTAGGGTGCAGTGCACAAGTCAGTTGGGACCCATTTTGCACGTGCGCACGTGCAGGGTGCCGCTTCCAGATCTCGAGAACGGCTGGGCCGATTGTGCCCAAATTTGGCACATCGCTAGAGACCAGTTAGTAGGGTGCCGTGCACAAGTCAGTTGGAGGTACCCCCTCGCAATTTCGCACGTGCAAGGCCCACCCTCTCGCTCGCTCCGTTAGTCGCCCCAAAAGGCGTTATACTGGTAGTTAGTAAACAGTAAACATTGGCTTTCAGATGCAACGTGGTTGTCATCAAAAGATAAAATGATGCGTTCGGCACCACAGATAAACCATAGGCACCAAAACAAATGACATGAACAATAAATTACAGGACCACTGACTGTGTTGAGTAACAAAGCAGTATATATGCACACGTTCGACTGTTTAATGACGAACAAACGTTTAAACGTACGGCGTTCAAGAACTTTCAAAAGTGCATGCATTTAATGTTTGACGACTTATACAAACCCACTAAAAATGTTCGTGAAATAGTTGGAAATTCGAAACGACTCGCTTCTAGTCGCCAGCTTAGATGAAAATCACATAGACAGCAAATATTACGACGTGACAAGATGACAATCAGTCTGTCCGTCCCGTATGAGACCCTGTGCCTGCCGACCCCCCTCGGCCCCCCCCCCCGCCCCCCCCCCCCCCCCTCAGTGTCGTCCAGAGGTACCCAAAATGTAATAACTGGGCATAAATTATCCTCGCCCAATGCGGAGTAGTTGTTACGGAGCGAGCGAAGCGAGCGTAGTCTTTCCTTAGATTAACGGAAATTTCTGAGTATGAGCGGCCGGCCGGCCGGCCGTGGTCACGCTTTTGCGAGGCTTATATCTCAGCAACCACTTGACCGATTTACACGCGGTAATTTTTGTAGGGTAGCTTCATTCCTTCTACCAAGTATTGGACTATTCCCGATGCATGTGGGTGACCCCTTATGCACGTGCCACGTGCAAAACGAAGAGGTGTCAGTTTTGTAATTGTTGCAATATCTCGGTAACTACTTGGCCGATTGCGCTGAAAGTTGGCATGTAGGTAGGCACCCACTAGGCACTGCATATACATGTGCCAGAGTTGGGGTGCTGCTGCACGTGCGCACGTGCAGGGGTCGTTTCCAGATCTCGGGAACGGCTGGACCGATTGAGCTCAAATTTGGTACACGGTTAGGGACCGGTTAGTAGAGTGCCGTGCACAAGTCAGTTGGGACCCATTTTGCACGTGCGCACGTGCAGGGTGCCGCTTCCAGATCTCGAGAACGGCTGGGCCGATTGTGCTCAAATTTGGCACATCGCTAGAGACCAGTTAGTAGGGTGCCGTGCACAAGTTAGTTGGAGGTACCCCCTCGCAATTTCGCACGTGCAAGGCCCACCCTCTCGCTCGCTCCGTTAGTCGCCCCAAAAGGCGTTATACTGGTTTATGTAAGGGCAAACATTAGTCGTATTCCTTGACCTTCCACCAGGACTAATGGTGATATTAAACACGGTCTACCTTATATCAGACAGACACTCTATTATTAAACAATGATTCATACGTCGACACATGTCATGCTCAGTACAAAACGAGCCAGTCGATCTGTTTTCCTTATATCGCAATAAAACGCATGGGGTTCTGGATACAGTAACGCTGCCGCAGCAGGAAAGGAAGAAAAACTGGGACCGGTTTCGCCTCGAGCTTTGCTAGTGTGTTTCACACCCAGACCCAGACCCAGTCGGTCGTACCGAGACCAATTTTCCGCGATAAACGCGATAACATAGCCCGCGGGAGACCAGAAATCGAGCTAGGTCGGCTACCAATCGAGGAATGTTTGTCTAAAATAAAAGTTTTGTGGTGTATATTTGCCTAAAAAATAATTCATCTGGGATATTATCCAGTCTCAATGTAACCCTGCCATCGGCATCTGGAAAATGAGGGATAATTAACCGGGATCATCGGTAATCATTTGGTATTGCAGGAGCCATCGATGCAATTAGTTGCATTTTCAGGCTGCTTTTGCTTCACTAATGGCTCTTTTACTCGTTGCCATGCCTGTTGTGCATGGTGTCAGCTTGCACAAGACCGAATGATCCCGGTGACCCCGGAAAATTATCCCTGATTATCCGGATGCCGAATGCACGCTAAAGCACAAAACTAATCATACATCTTTCGATTAGGTAGTTTTCCTGCCAGAGGATCTTTCCCTTGTCAACATTAAAGATCACCATCGCGGCATAGCAGGCCATGAGATAGTAAAACCCCACTATGCGGAGTACCCATTCGCCCTCTACACACACCCAGCACCTTCCTGCCCGTCGCGTACAGCCCCACACCAGTCCCCAACACCAGGGCCTCAGGACCACAGCGGAAAGTCGGCCACCGGACATCTAATCGACCGCTAGACGACCACGGTCGGTCCCCGGACATCTAATCAGTGTCAGTGGTCGTAAACCGCGCCGCGCGATCACAGATTACAGCTACTGACGCACGCGTGGGGCTGCGATACACAATACAGCGTCAGATAGGAGTCGAGTGGGAAGCGGGCCGGACTTTACCGTGGTGTTTTAACTGGACCAGGAACTACAAATGTATTCGAAAGACGTGCAATATTGTATCCTGAGATTTGTAATATATGGTAATATGAATTATGAAAGTCATTGCGATGAGCTGGTTACGAGTGTTCAGGCTAACAAAGCAAGCGCAAAGGTTACACTCGTAAATCAATATAGGGAGGAACACAACTGTCAATTATCATAGAATGTCTAGGAACGTAGGAAGCACAAAAGGCAATCGCCTTAGCATGTCACCCAGCATGCTAACCTATATCTCGCCGGGTTTATGGCCCAATATCGACTCCTCAGCCGCCGGCCTGTCGTCCGTAGTCGTCTTGGCCACATTATGAGACCGTGTCCTTCTGTATCTTACCTGAGCCATACTCGTTCCCCAGGTAATCTTTCCCTCTGTTTTCATCTCAGCTGATTCCCCTTAGTCTCAGCTCAGATGATCCCACAGCCCTCCCTCACCCTTATAATCCCTTTTCTTTCCTCACCTCATCGACGGAGGACTGGGAGCTGAGTGACAGCAGTCCGTCGCACGATGTCACCGAGCAGAGGGACGATGCCGAGGCGCTGCAGCGCGCCCGGCTGCCGCCGCTGCTGTGCCGACTGCTGCCGCCGCTGCCGTGACGGCTCGCCGGAGGACCTGCTGCAGAGGAGGTCGGCTCGCGCGGCGGCTCGGTGGCAGACGAGGTGGTCTCCGGCTCGTCAGACTGAAATGTGGGCGGGGAGGTCACACGGGGTAGTGAAATGACATGATGGGGACGGGGGAGGGGAGTGTGAGCTGACAGTACAAGCCGCACGGTGGGAAGACAGGACGGGGGCGCCCTGTAGCGTGCAGGCTCACAAATCACTGAATACAAGATGCCAGGATTGCATTATGCAACGTCAGCGTACAAACGATATAAGAATACCAACTTAACTGTTACCATAAATAGACTGACAGAAATAGAGACAGTAAATGATGAAATGGAGCTGAAATCGTCCTGCCTTCTTTGTCTTGAGCTGACAACATAAACCAACAACATTAGCTAGTCATAGGTAATATGAAAATAGATAAACTAACTGAAAATGCAACGCAATAGCAAATGCGCAGCACAGCTCTTTGCCCGCCGTGGATTGCATTATAAAATATTATGCAGCATTGCAAAGCCTGCAGCAATGTTCACTGAAACTCATCGCAGCCGACAGAAGCGACGGAGCTGAACATATCGCCGGGGGAATGTCCTTCCGTGTTCAATGCCCCGGAGAGCGACCCTGGTCTGGGCTGCTTTTCTCCCAGCAGTTCCAGGCAGACCAAACATTGGATGCCACGACACCCGAGCAGCATAACAACGGGGCGGCGCGCAGCGGCCCGCTATGCAAAGGTCACAGTGCAAACAAATAGCCATGATCTGCATCCGTATGTCTGCGGATATGGTTGTATTAGCAGACAGCGGAGACGAATCATTGGACGATGAAGTAGTACCCCCCCCCCCCCCCAAGAGAAAAGCAAAAGCCTAGGTGTTCAGCGCCAACCGCGACTAGCTGGAAGAGGGGAGATGTTTGAGCCCCTCACCCCCTGTAACACAGCTTCTGGGCCACGTTGAGGTACGCGGTAAGCGGCGTTCGAAAGAGCGTCGAAATTCACGAAAACCTATGCTTTGGTCATTTTTCAGCCAGGTCACCAGAGGTCAACAAAGGTCAAATTTTGATTATCTAAACTAAACATTTCCTTGTAAATGGGTGCATAACTCGGGGCGGAGGCGGAGGCGGGGAGGACTGCAGGCGGAGGCGGGTACGGAGGAACTGCGACGGAGGCGGGATGGGGATGAGAACGGGGGCAGGTTGGGACAGGGGGCGGAAAGGGGAACTGGGACGGATACGGGGACGGGGGGAGCGGACACGGAGAGGGACTGGGCAGCCAGGGAACTGGGACGGTCGCGGGGACGGTGACGGGACGGGGAGCGCTGCAGACGGCCACTTCCGTCCAGTGATAAACACGGCGGCGCGGCTGCCGCCTTGCTGCTTTGTGGCCGGCGCGCGGCTCGGCCGCTCAGTTACACGCAAACAGTATATGAAGGTCACATCTGCTCCCGAACAGCAAGGGTCGGTACAGATCACATCCCAATGAGACTGGCAGATCCGGGACTGGACTGAATTTGACTGAAAATAATAAGACAGACCAAGGCACGTAAGCACGTGAGCATCGTCAGTAGTGAGCCTGACAATCTGAAGGGGCCGGATCGTCTGAATATGTGCCAAGCGAGTGGTCCAGTGTATCGATTTTTTACCCCTCTTTTACACTCAGTGGTAACCAGTAATCGTCTTCAGCCAGAAACTGACAAAAACCTTTGCCATTTGTACCTCTGGAACGAAAAATTTAGGCCAAAATGAGGGCGTCAAGCTAAATAAAAATGATATGTTTACATATAGCTAAATCTTTCAAAAATGCAGGCATCCTAGCCATGTCTTACTGCGAGTTGCCCGAAAGACCCAATGCAACAACAAACCTCGTTGCTATTTGCGCGCCCGGGCCGTCGTACACGCTCTGAATCAGGGTGGCAAGGCATCCAACTGCCCTAGATTTCGCACGCGGTTCAGTCGCCCACAGCCCCTTACCATCGGCAGGCTCTAACAGTGACCCGAAAGGGCACATCTACCACCGCTGATGAACCCAAACGAGCGCCTCGCAGCTCGACCGAGACATCGACCGCCCTCCCGACCGCCGGCAGCGGCGGACTGAGGTCACCCTGCAGCTCGTTATGATCAATAAAGGCCGACACGGCACCGCGGCTGACGTATGTTGTCCCAAAGGCTTTGCGGCGTCAAACTCGACATCGCAGTTGAAATGAAACTTGGAAGCGAGAGGGCCACATGCAACCAACAGTGCAGATGTGCTAGACCATAACTCACCCACACAGACCCAACATGTTGTAAAACAACACGCATATACTGTCGCATTGCCAAATTTTACAGTTGACCTTTCTAACATATATTCACTTGCATATCCCCATTAGCCTATTTTACCGTGTTAATCCCTGTTCTCCCGCATCACTACCACCACCACCACCCAGTTATCATGAATTACCCACAAGCCGTCCTTCTCTAGCATTCCCCGGCCGTCCCTCCCTCCCTCCCTCCGCCTCGTTCTCACCTTGCACGATATGAGGTGCTCGGTGAGCTCGGTGGCGTCCCGGCCGACGTGACATCCGGTCCAGTCGCCCTCAGTGGTGGCCGTCTCCAGTTCGACGCTGTCCTGTCCGCAGCGCACGGCCGGCTCGGCCACGGCCGCCGGCAGCGCCAGGTGCAGTCGGTAGTGGAGCGGCGTCAGGCCGGCGCCCAGCGAGCAGGCCGTCATCGTCAGACAGCGGTCGCCGCGCTCCACGCGCACAGACTCGGACACCACGTTCGGCTCCTGGATGGAGATGTACAGCCGCGTCTGGTCACGGTGAATGGTGAACCGTGGCAGCGAGTACAGACGATCGGCCGCCGGTGTCGCCGCCGGCTCGGCCGAGTCAGAGCCCGACTCTGACTCGGCGTCCATCACAGCCTGCTCGGCGGGCTCCGAGTCACCCTCCTCACTGCCCGCCTCACCCTCTCCCTCTCCCTCCCCCGCGGCTCTCCGCCAAGTCCGATACGCGTCGTCGTCCGACTCGTTTTTGGCACAGTCACTGTCGATGCCACTGTCGGGCACGGTGTCGGCCGGCTCGACGGGCAGCGTCACCACCAGACAGCGGGCGGCGCGGTCGAAGGTGGCGCTGCCGGCCGCGTCCCGCACCGGCAGCGGCAGCACCGCGTCCAGCCGGTAGCCGGCCGGCGAGCGCAGCTTCAGCGTGCGCGTGCCCACATCCAGGTCGAGGCCGGCGGCCGAGGTGAGCCGCGGCAGCTGGACGCGCACCACCAGCGCCTGCGGCCGCGTCGGCGGGCCGCCGCAGCCGGCCGCGAACTGCTGCATGTCCAGAGAATCCCGGTACACCACCGTGTACTTGGGCGTCTCGAAACCAGCGTCGGCGTCCGCGTCGGCAGGCTTGTCCGAGTCGCCGGCGGTGGCGGGTGCTCCAGCTGCAGGGTCCTCCTTCCCGGCGGCGGGCGTCTGCTCGGCGTCCTCCGCCGGGTCCAGGGTCATGCCTGCCGCCTGGCGACGCAGCTGCTCCACCACGGCCGCCGGCACGGGCGGCGCGTCGCGCTCGGCGTCCCCGGCGCCCGCGCGGCGGCGACGGATGACGCTGGCCTGTGGCACGCCCTTATACTGCAGCTTCGGGTAGACGATCTTGTCGCGCTTCAGGCCCGCCTTGAACGTGTCGTCCACGGCGTCGACGGCGGTCTGCTCGACCAGGCGGCGCATCTGCGGGTTCTTGCCGGCCATGTACAGCGTGTCCGGGTGGAAGACCACGTCGTAGACGGTGCACGCGGCGCCCGCCTTGTCGCGGTCCTCACGCGGCCGTGACTGCGCGTACGGGATCGACCAGTTGAGGCCGCGCTGCTGGGCGCCGCTGGAGCGCGTGCAGCTCGGCGCGCCCACGTGCTGGTTGCTGCAGACGTTGATGAAGGCTTTGCCGCCAGAAGACGTCTGCAGCTTGAGCACATGGCCTGGCTCCGGATGGATCCAGGTGATCTCGTTGCCATGCTCTTGTTCCAGTAATGCAATCTCTTCCTCATATCTGCAGAAATTAATAAGACAAACATAATGCTATTAATATATTATAACTCATAAAACAGATCCCAATTAACCCTATTAGTGGCAGGGGGGGTTGTTTTTATCCACCCCTCAGGTTTTTCGGGAATATCTCCGAAACCGCTGAAGCTACGATGCTGAAATTTTCTGACTTTTCCTAAAACTAAATTGGGCACATTCCCAGAAAATTTCAAGTTCATAACTTTACCAGGGGCGGCTCCAGAGCACTGGGAATTGGGGGTCCTATTCGTGAAGCGAGTCATTTGGGCGAAGATCACGATGCTGCACCAGTTTTACGAACAGTGAATGAAAGGTATCATGTGATAACATATACAAAGTTATTGTGCATCCTCTTTTGACATGTTTTTTGCTATAATAGGCGGATCCAGGCGTCCAAAAAGGGGGGTTATTTTTTACCTCCCAACATAGGTGCCCTGACACCGCCTATGCATGACCAATACAATTTTAGTCGTTCTCTCATAAGAAAATTGTAACATAACAAGACCATTGCCACCCTTTTTAGAAACAGTACCAACAAAAACCTTATTTACTATACTTTTTGTGTACCCCCAATCTCAATGATCTGTATCCGCCTATGATTTTTGAAAATGCATATTTTTAGGATCCATGTGAATTCCTGGTTCATTCTCTATCGATCGGCAAAAGTTGCGTTAAGATTGGTTCAGAAACCTGGCCGTGATAAACAGTCCAAAATGTATCTGCAATTTGCCCGTTTTTACCCCCCTCTACCCCCCTATTGACATTTTTTAATTTTATTTTTTTTTTTTAGAAATGTAGATCTCGTTGAGCCAAATCGAATGCCGTTTGAATTTTGAAAATCGGCCGGTTAGATCTCGAGATATCAAGGGGGGGTCGTAAACAGCCCCCCCCCCCCTGCCACTAATATGGGGTAGCCAGGAGCCTGCCACTAATAGGGTTAATGCCTTAAAAGCATCAATCTGAAAAATCTGATTTAGTATGTGTGAAGAAAAATTAATTTATTTCAGAGTTTAATCTCCCAATTCGGAGATTATACGGCTCATTGATGAGCCATAGGTAGGTACTTGTGCAGATCAAATGATTTTTTTTAGTAATATGGTCCCAGCTCAAAGCTTGGACAGAGCATCAAGCTAGTTGATGGGTAGTTTCAAATTTTTGCAGCAATGTGGGTAGGTAACCATGCTTCTTATCATTTGACCCGCGCCCCGTTGAGGTCTGGCGGGTTCCACGTCCTGTTGGTGGTGGTGGTGGGCGGGGGGGGGGGGGGGCAAAGGGGCCCCGTCGTATGTCCGGAACCAATAGCCGGATCGGAAAATTCAAACGGCAATCGAAAGAGCTCATCGAGATGCACAAGATAGGATATCGATGACCTTGATATTTGACCTTTGACGTCATAGGGAGGTCAAATAAGGTCAAATCAGTCCAATTTGCAATCACAAGAAGTCGGTCATGAAAATGAAATCTAAGTATTCAAAATGAGTCTGGATATGATGTATATGATAGATCTGCTATGTGGATAGTCACCTGAGTCGATGATGACCTGTGACGTCACAACAGGGGTCAGCCTCGACCAATCAGAAAACACTTTGGTGAATCGTAAGGAAAGGCATGTTAAATTGTGAATATTCGAGTCTTTATGAAGACATGTCATATATATGCATCCACAGAAATCTCCATGACAATTTTTCTTGGAACAATGACGTCACAGGAATGTCAAATAAGGTCATATTGTACCAGTTTACAACAAAAAAAAACAAACAATTTTTACGTAAAAGTGACTTTGGTCACATAAAGGATCATATTCAGTCAGCAAAAGGTTAATAAGGATCATAAATATTACTCCTGACTGATTTCAAGCACAAATAGGCTGAAAATACTGCGACGTCATAAGAACAGTCGCCACTTTTTCAGTCATTCAAATGGCTATATCTCAGGCAGTTTTTGAGATATTTTGTTAATTTTTGGCATGTGTAAGGCCTGTAAGGGGTTCTCTAACATATATTCTAGTTTTTTTGAAAATTTTCCCAGATTGCAAAAATATCTCAAGAAATCTAAATTTTGAGTTAAAAAATCCCTAGATCTAGAGATTTTTACATTTTGGAAATTTCGAGATAGCCGTTTTGTTCGCCATACTTTTTTATACCTACGGTCCAGTTTTTTAGTCACTACGTTGAAACCCTGATTTTCTGCAATTTTTCTCCGTGAACAACTTTTTCGACGAAAAACCGCCGAACATGACCTCAGTTTGACCTCTCTATAGCTCGTGACCTGAGATCAGGGCTGCGGAGTCGATGGATTTTCGGCGACTCCGACTCCGACTCCGACTCCGGCTTTCAATAACCAGCTCCGACTCCGACTCCGACTCCGGGCAGAATTGTCGACTCCGACCGACTCCAACTCCCGACTCCGACTCCGCAGACCTAGCAGGGCTGCGGAGTCGACAGATTTTCGGTGACTCCGACTCCGACTCCGGCTCGGGTTTCTAAAATCGACTCCGACTCCGACTCCGACTCCGGTCACAACTGTCGACTCCGACCGACTCCGACTCCGACTCCGACTCCGACTCCGCAGCCCTGCCTGAGATGACCTGGGACCTAATTTTTTCAGAAGTTGTGTAGAATTGATGTCCGGAGAGGTACTGAAAGTTTCAAGTCGAAATTCGCAGCCGTTTCTGAGTTATCTCCGAAAAGCCACAGGGGGGCCCTTTGCCCCCCCCCTCCTCCAACGGGTCGCGGGTTAACCCTCGCCCGTATAGGGGAGGGGAGACGACCCCTTCCCCACTCGGCTTTTCGCGAATAACTCGCGTAAAAAGCGGCCGATCGCGACGAAAGTTTCAGTATCCTCGCGTTTATCAATTTGACACCTACCCTTAAAATTTCATGACCCTGACCCAAATGACCTTTGACCTGTGACCTACTTTTCGAGACTATGTTTGGCCGGAATCGCGATTCGGCGTATATCGGCTCGCATTAGCCGCGCGGTTGCAGTCTTTTCGTGGTTTCAAGCGTTCAAATATGTGATATGATGATGGTCCCATGCATTAGGGTGGGTGTCAAGGTCACCTGAAGGTCAGGTCAGGTCACTGACGTTTGGTGACCTCGGTTCACTTTCTCGAGTTTTACATGTTTCTAGGCTAGTTTTTGGAGCTGAATTCGAATTTAGCAGCCATATGAACATTTACAAAGTAGTTTTGGTGCCGTCGTATCATGTTATGAAGCTGTCAGAGGCGATTGACACCTACTACAAATACTGGACAGGACCTCTACTGGTTGACCTGACCTGACCTGGCCTAAATGCATTAATTTTACACCTAAAGGTTTAAAATTTGTCAACTCGAGCATACTGAAAGTTACGTAGTGGTCGACCGCTTTTGCGCGAGTTATTCGTGTAAAACCAAGTGGGTCCGTTCCATGTTTGCTCCTCCTATGTTCAATCAAATTGCAAAAGATTCAGAAATGTATGTAAGCTGTTTTTCAAAACTGACATACCTACCTAACCACAAAAACTTAAGGACTATGCATGGAATAAGATAGTCCAGAACACTACTTTAAATTTATATGAGATTCCAGATTATGGTGAAAATAAAGTTTTGCCTAGCTAAGCTTTTCAAAATAATAAGGTGATTTATATTTGATGAGCGCTTTCTTAGCAAAATCAAATATATTTTGAGTACATACAAAAAGACTTTCAGGGCATGATGATCAGAATAGGTATGACAATAATTGTATTACCTACTCTGTGCATGTGTAAATCCCACTCAGTCCAATGGCCACTGAAACTGAAATTGAGCTGTTTAGACTTAACCCTCGCATGTGTGCGGCGTTTGCCAGCTTCTAATGTGTGGGGAGGAAGGATCGGTTGGACCCCCCCCCCTTGCCGTTTGGCCCCTGATTGAGCTAGAGCTTCGCGGAAAAAAAACGAGCGTGTTGCCCGTGACGAGAGGAAGCCGATGATGCCCAACTTTAAGGTCCTAGGTCATTGGTTGACCTTCCAGGTCAGGTCAATGACCCAAAAGTCGGGAAAATCGGGACCTATAATCAAGTAAAATAACCGTACTCTCATAGTTAATATCCAAAATCGTAAGAAAAAGGCCTGATAATTCCGAAGAGCTTTCGGCTTACGCCTTCTTCAACTCGCTTGAAGCAGGCGTAAGCCGAAAGCTCCTCGGAATTATCAGGCCTTTTTCTTACGATTTTGGAAATCAACTATGAGAGTACGGTTACTTTACTTGATTATATGTTTAAGCATGTCTCTCAAAACATTGCTAACAGCAATTCAAACTAAAATCGGAACCTGTTAGAAAGTCGTAGTGTGGCTGCTAAAGGGTTTTTCGGGGTGCTGATCGCGAGTATCGTGTTAGTTTTGATCACAGATAATGTTTTTAAGCGTTTAGACCAGGTCGGGTCAGGTCAGGTCAGGTCAACCAGTAGGGGTCGTGAGTCGTGACGGGTATTCGTAGTACGTGTCAACCGCCTCTGGCAGCTTCGTAACATGTTACGAAGGCACCAAAACTACTTCGTAAATGTTCAAATAGTTTCTAAATTCGAATTCAGCTACAAAAACTAGCCTAGAAACATGTAAAGCTCGAAAAAGTAAACAGAGGTTCAAAGGTCAATGACCTGACCTGACCTTCAGATGACCTTGACATCCACCCAAATGCATGGGAGCAACATCAAATCACATGTTTGAACGTTTGAAACCACGAGCAGCTTGCAAACGCGCGACTAATGTGAGCCGACATAGGCCGAATCGCGCTTCCGGCCAAATATGGCTTCGAGAAATAGGTCACAGGTCAAAGGTCACTTGGGTCAGGGTCATGAAATCCGCAGGGTAGGTGTGAAATTGATCAAATGGAGGGTACTGAAAGTTTCGTCGCGATCGGCCGCTTTTTACGCGCGTTATTCGCGAAAAACCATGGGGTGGGGGTGCATCCGACCCCCCCCCCCCTACACATGCGAGGGTCAACTCTACTGGGCCCTGTTTCACAGCAAGCTGCTAATACACTTCTAGTGCTATTGCGCTTTTGCTTTCCATAAAAAACATTGGGCCTGTTCCAATGCCTCCAGTCCTCCAGAAACCTCCAGAATTATGCCGCCAATGCCTCCAGAAACCTCCAGATTATGGCACATGTGACAATTGCAAATGCAAAAAAGGACTTTTGACTATTAATTTTGAAATTTAAACTTGAAAAAAATATATTATTAAAATTGTTTTAAAGCTTCTTTCTAAAATCAAAAACAATACTTTTCAAGAGTGAAATATCATCATTCTTGTAATAGCCCTGACACCAATCTCCAGAAATCTCCAGATTGTGTTCCTGCACCTCCAATTTAGTAGTAGAGCCTTCAGCCTCCAGTCCAGAATTTCTACAAGAGGTGCTGGAACAGAAATTTCATTGCGAGGACACAAATTTGCTGCCGAATCCCAGGAAACCAAAAGCGCATCAGCGCTAGCGGTGTGCCATTAAACAGAGTTATCATGTCAACATCCCATTTTGATTTCAGCCATTCACAGGTAACACTTTGATTTGAAAGGATAGGCTGATAATAATACATTGAAATGTTTATTTATTTATTGTCACAGCAACAAACCAGATCCGCATTAAATGGGCTGCTCCCTGGTCGATGTCAGTTAACATTTCATAATGAACAACTCACAACACAGTTAAAATAAAATACTGCGACACCTGATAAAACAGCTAAAAATCACCTTCTCCTAGCTATGATCATTGTAATCTAGAAAGCTTTAGATGCTTTTTTTAATTTGCTCAGCGTAAGTCTGTCTGCACCCTCGGCTATAACAAATGTTCTTAGGGTAACTACCTATTAAAAGGAAGAAAACACCTCTCCTGAGTCCTAAAGATGCATTAGGTACCTACCTACTGGAAAATGTTTGTTTTAAGCATAAACGGTTTTGGTTTAACATATTACACTGATGAAGGCATCCAAATTGAAATATTATGGAACACCTCTTTCTAACAAGGAAAGCACCAGAAACCGACCGACACGTGTTAGAAATCCCGGAATGGGACCTGGGAGTCGGACCGGCGCTGGGCCTGGAGCCTGGGGGCGTGCCGCAGCGGACTTACCTTTTCCTGTTTTCAGGATCACGAATTTCATCAACATATTCGCCCAAAAGCTTGCGGAAACCTTCATCCTTCAAGGCCTTGGAGAATTTAGTTAGCTCATCTTGTGTTATATTAATATCTTTCAGTTTTTCCCCAGCCCCAAACCTCTCCGATGTCTTCGATGCCATGTTGTTTTGTGAAGTGTGTTTTCATCGTGCTTGCTTGTGATTGGTGCAGATTAACCTTCCCACATCTTATTCTACTGCAATAAAAGGCGCACAGAGTAAGAATGCCAAAATATCTTATGATGCCAAATATTAAAATTAATCAAACAAAACACAAAACACGCTCAAAGTAATCGTGTTAAAAACACATCCTGAAAAAAGCAAATGATCCTCATGGGGGACTAAGAAAATCAATTCTAAAGAAAGAAAGATACCGGCAAGGGCTTGCGCGAAAGCACGAAAGTAAGCAAAATATATTCGATTTCACTCGTGATTTCGGTGTACTTGTTCATTCATGAGCCTGAAAATTCACTTCTTGATTTGGATAGCCATATTTTAAATTACACTTAAAAATTGAAATTAAGCAACTTTTGTTGTAGAGTGTAGTGATAGTGCTGCCATCTACAAATGATGAATGCTTACAACGCCCCCTGCCACCCAAGATTACTAACACTGCAACTGTATTTAGGGCCTTGACTGCAACTTTTCCAGAGTCGGACAGTAACAGTAATGTCCGGTCGGGTCTGGTTCGAGTCTGGAAAAAAGCATCTTTTCACTTTTGCCACCTCTATTGCATTACCTTCGGCTGTATCAATTTGATACCTGTGTCAAAATATGCATAGGCGTAGGAACAGGGGGGGCCAGGTGGGCAAATGCCCACCCACTTTTCGAGGTGGGGGGCCAACCATGTGTTTTGGCCCACCCACTTTTTACCCGAGGCCCCTCGTCTCGATTTGAGAGGACGTCGTCACCTTCCAGAATAAACAAACTCGGTAAAAATAAGTTCCACGAATCCCCACGCACGGACTCCAAGGGGCCGTGATGGATCCAAGGAGGCCCTCTGTTCATACTTGTCAGTCGAAGCCCCTGAGACTGATGGCCTGAGAGGCCCTAGTGGATCTGAGGAGGCCCCAATATCCACACTGGTCTGGGGAGGCCCCTGACACTGGCGGTCTGGGAGGCCCCTCTATCTACACTAGTCAGAGGTTTGAGACTGGTGGTCTGGGAGGCCCCTCCATCCACACTAGTCAGAATAGGCCCCTGACACTGGCGGTCCAGCCGAGGCCCCCTACCTTCACTAGTCAGAGGAGGCCCCTCTATCCTCAATAGTCAGAAGAGGCCCCTGAGACTGATGTCTGGGAGGCCTATCCATCTACACTGTAGTCAGAGGAGGCCCCTGAGACTGATGACCTGAGAGGCCCTTATAATCACACCAGGCAGAAGAGGCCCATGATACTGATGGATGTAGGCCGGCGCGTATGTAGAAAACCAATAGGTCCGGCGAGGGTTAAGCCAGCGCATTCATAGCCCCACACCAGCAATTGTAAGGGCTTCACACTGAAGTATCTGAGGGTTCCACACCGATGTCTCTAAAGGGCCACATACCGGCATCTCTGAGGGCCCCATACCGGCGTCTCCGAGGGTCCACATCTGGCGGGCACCCATCAGCGACTGAAGGTCCCACACTGTCGACTCCTAGAGCTCCATCTGCGTCTGGGAGCACCATGCCGTCTCTAAGAACCACAGCGGCTCCTCCGTGCGAAAGATGGGCGTCTGCATGCCAAAGGGGAGCGGTTCTCAGACAGTAGGGCACCTACGTGCAATAGAGGGGCGCCTATGAAGCCCATAGGGGCGCCTCAATGCGAAAGAGGGGCGCCTCTGAGGCCTACATATATGGGCGTCCACATGCAATAGAGGTCTGCAAATTGCAATTGATCAATGCCATGGGGGTGCATTCATAAGAAACAGGGGCGCCGGTATGGCAAAGAGAGGCGCCTTCAAGTGTCCATAAAAGAGAGACGCCTATGATAAGCGCACATTGTATGCGACAACGGGGCGACTGTTGGACATATAGGGATGTCTCTGATGACTATACATAGGGCGCTTATATGCCAAAGAGGGCGCCTATGAAGCTAATGAGGGCACCTGGGAAACGAGGAAGACATTTGTGTAAGGGTTTTCAGGGGTCATGCGCCGTTTGCGGCAAATAGATTCAAAAAAAAAATCGGAGGGGGAATAAGTTTTAAAAATGATGCGGACTTTCCGCACTGTTCGCTTAAGCGGTTACGCCCCTGGGTACATCTGCCCGATCTCAGAAGCTAGATTTGGAGGTCATACTTGAAAGCAGCCAGCAGGACGAGGCAAAAGTTGGAGGCCCCTGAAAATAGGAGGCCCCCTGGAAAAGGAGGCCCCTTGACAGGGTGGCCCACCCACTTTTCATGACGTTCCTACGCCCGTGAAAATATGAGCTTCGAAGCAGTGGCGGCGCCACGAATTTTCGCCAGTGTGGGGGCAAGCTTGAGGTGACCCGACTGTTGTCTGATGGCGATGCGCCGATCTGCAAAATCCATGAGCACCTTGCCCCTAGATGTTGCCGTTCAAAACTATTATGGTTTCAGGTTTCATGCATAGGCGTATTGAGCGTAACCCTCGCGGGTCCGGAGGAGGGGGGGGGGGCGTTTTTCGCCTCCCCTGGCGAATATTTGCGATACCTCAAGAACGCTTAGGGATAGAAAGACGAAACTTGCTGCACCTTATCCCCCATTAATTTGACATCTTTTGAAGCAAAAAAAAAATGGACCTAGCCAGCTTGATAACGTCTCAGACTCTCAGGACCGATTTTTCTAGACTCCTGCACGGCAAACTTCGGCGTCACAGACGTGAACTTCAACCAGCTGCCAAAAATAGAGTTTTAGAGACAAAGACGAATTACGAGCACGGTTATGTAGCATTTGACCTAGCAAAAATACTGAACCCTCGCCCGTATTGGTGTTTTTCCAGCCGCGAACGTATAAACTATAATGGGGGTCTGTTGGACCCCCCCCCCCCCCTTTGCCGTTTCACCCCTGATCGAGCTAGAGCTTCGCGGAAAAAAAAAACGAGCGTATTGCCCGTGACGAGAGGAAGCCGATGATACCAAATGTTAAGGTCCCAGGTCACCGGTTGACCTTGCAGGTCAGGTCAATGATCCAAAAGTCGGAAAAATCGGGACCTGTTAGAACGTCGTAAAGTGTGGCTGCTATGGGGTTTTTCGGGGTGCTGATCCACGAATATCATGTTAGTTTTGATCACAGATGATGTCTTTAAGCGTTTAGTCCAGGTCGGGTCAGGTCAGGTCAGGTCAACCAGTAGGGGTCCTGCCGGGTATTCCTAGTAGGTGTCAACCGCCTCCGATAGCTTCGTAACATGTTACGAAGGCACCAAAACTACATCGTAAATGTTCACATGGTTGCTTAATTCGAATTCAGCTCCAAAAACTGGCCTAGAAACATGTAAAACTCGTAAAAGTGAACCGAGGTCATCAAAGGTCAATGACCTGACCTGACCTTCAGGTGACCTTGACACCCACCCTAATGCATGGGAGCAACATCATATCACATGTTTGAACGCTTGAAACCACGAAAAGACTGCAAACGCGCGGAATGCGAGCCGACATACGCCGAATCGTGATTCCGGCCAAACATGGTCTCGGAAAAGAGGTCACAGGTCAAAGGTCATTTGGGTCAGGGTCATGAAATTTTCCGGGTAGGTGTTAAATTGATTAACGCGATGGTACTGAAAGTTTTGTCGCGATCGGCCGCTTTTTACGCGAGTTAATCGCGAAAAACCTTAGGGAGGTTGCATCCCCCCCCCTGTGCCGGCGAGGGCTAGGATGAGGATACAGAGTGAGACTGGTGACAAGGGCGCCGGCAAATGTCATTATCGACCCAGCTTGCAAGTGCATAGTTGCGGTAGGCCACTTCCACACCTTGAATTTTGCTGGGCCTATTGCGCCTACATCACACTGTTAACCTTCCAGGCGGTGGGGGGGGGGGCAATTTTTTGCCCCCCCTTTACTTTTTTCGATATATCTCGAGAACCGCTGCGTCGATCGTCACCAAACTTTCAGTACCCTCCCGGGAGCAGCTAGCGCACATGGTGACCAAAAATTTTTCCAAAGGCTATGATAGGTTGGCCGCTAATGACGTAAGAGTGACGTCATTTTTGCAATTTTCGACCCAAAAAAAGGTTTCGCGGGAAGAGCTGTCAGGCCTACAGCTTTAGAGATACAGAAAAATGTTTTAGACATAAAAGGTGTGGAATCAAAAGGGCTACAAAACTGCTATTTCGGTTTTTCGAATTTTTTGGATTTTGACCCCCAAAAATCAAAAAATAGATTTTTTGAATATAATAGCCAAAAAATCCAAAAAGTTTTTTGAATTTCGAAAAAAAAACGGAATATATGTGATAGTCCCTACCGCCTTCTATCTACATACCAAATTTGAGATCGATACCTCGTTTTTTGGCCAAGTTATAGCGAAAAAACTGTTCAAAATTGATGACGTCAAATTTTCAAACTCAATTTTTAGCCGTTCTAGACCTCGTAGCGCAAAACAAAGACCACCATTAGACTCCCCGTGACGAGCTGCATCGAATCGATACCCATTTTGTGCAAAAATATCAACTTTGAAATTTGACCTTTTTTGACCTGACCTTGACCTGACCTCCACCAGAAAGTGACCTAAACCGTACCTGATGCTCTTATAACCAACACCATTGAGTTGGAAATGAAAAACTGGCCATAAAACATGCATCACATAACCTTAGTAAAGTTGGGCTCATGTGGTGACCCTTGGTGACCTTTGGTGACCTGACCTGTGACCTGACCTGGTATGACCAGTGACCTCTAATAGCAACATATGTACTAGACAACTGACGCCTTATCGCTGATTTTCGACAAAATGCGTTTTACTCGGTGTTATAGCGCTTTCCCTAGAAGCCCTGTGAACGGTGAAACATTTTATCTTTGACCTGACCTGTGACGTCATCGGTGACCCCGAGGTCAATGAAATTTGGTTTCCCTCGACAAATTTGACAGGGCTATCGAACGCCGTTTGAATTTTTCGGATCCGTCCAGTAGTTTCGGAGATACGGGGGGGGGGCAAAAAAGTGCCCCCCCCCCCCCCACCGCGTGGAAGGTGGCTGGTAGGCCCACCGCCTGCCGGGTTAGGGACCGATTGATAGGCTGCTCCGCACATGTAAGTTGGAGGTCACACTTTGCGCTTCCGCACATGCTTATATGCCACTCTCGTGCTCGCTCGTATGTCGCCCGAAAAGGTGTCTTACTCGTAGCATTCACATTCTTTTTATCCCAGCTGACGCTGCTGTTTTATACTTACATGTGAACTGTACTTTTAATATGTTGTGTGATATGTACCTACTGTGTTTTTGTTGATGTTACTGACTAGGCCGTAATAGCCACAGATTGGTGGATAGGTCTTTACACAATGAATAAATGACAATGACAAAGACAATGACATATTTTACTGTAAAATGGTACATTCTTAGAATTAGTTCCTGTGTCAACATATCGCTTATCGTTTGGTGGTTTCAATACGATATTAATTATAGGATTTTTTATTAAAACATATTTACATTGGTATAAATAAAAATGTTTCAAAAACATACGCTCCAATAGCAAACAAACGATATACAAAGCAGAGGCGAAACTTAGCAGTACACATAAGATCACATCCACTGCACTGACGGCCACAGTCCAGTGACCTCAGCTCACGACTGGTCATTCCGAGTACATGTCGTCACTGGCGTACTCGTCCGTCCCGGCGCCGTAGCCCTGCTCCTGGGCGTCGTACTGCTGCGGGTACTCGGTGTACTGCTGCTGGTACTGCGAGCCCGTGCCGTGGTACTCGGTGCCGCCCCAGTCCTGACCGCCTCCGCCGACCCAGCCGTAGGTCACCGGCCTGCGGAACACGAGATGAAGGTCATGACTTTGAGATACGCGACTACGACAACCGATACCAATGCAAAGACCAAGTGAACGTTACACCGGTGCGAGAAGATGTAGCTCTTAGCTTGTTAACATGGGGAAAGGAAAAGACCTCGTGCTTGTGACATTAGTCTCATAAATAACTGTCTTTTGTCAGGCGGGCGTTCCTGGCTAATGCATAATGCAGGAATGCAATGGTGCATGTGGTCGATTTACGAAGTCGTTGCGCTGCACCGGTGCGCTGATCATCAACGAATGTGCGAGTGCGGTGAGAAGAAACGGAACATCCTAAAACATAAAAAGGTACAACATTTTGGTTACAGCAAAGCCGATGGCCGGTCTGAGAGTGCTTTTACGGGAGGAGGAAGTCAACTCATGGCCGACAATAGTTGCAGACAAAGACGTCGTTGAATCAGAGGCGATGTTGCGTCTGTTTTTTTAGTGGAGGGGGTGGAAATCACATATAAGCCACAAAGACTTTGTAGAGGACAAAACGCATGGCCTCTATAGAAGCAAAACTGGTTTACTTTCAGTAGCCAGTAGGTACGTCTATGTAAATTGTTGAACGATTGGTATTTTACACATGAAACACCAGTTACTATGTACGTACATGTGAAGTGCTTGCAAATATTTAGGCATACCAATAGCGAGGGCTCCAGTAAAAAAAAAAAACTTAACATACTGAGTTAGAGCTCTTGAAATGCACTTGGTATCCCAATAACTCAGTGACATGTTAAGGATGTCTGTCAAAACCTGTGAATTGCCATGGCAACCACGGTGAATGGAGCCACCACATTCCAGTCCGCCGAGACTGAACCACGTGTCTCGCCAAAACGAGACCCCCGCTCGGCCAAATATAGGTTGGCGACTCTCGAGTACTCCCCCCCCCCCCTGGACCCATATCCCTCAGATCCACCCCTCGGTGACCTTGAGACGACCTTGGATCGGTCTGTCTGGCACGCTGCTGGTCGGTCTCAGACAACTGAACGTGGACTGATGCATTAAACATATCGCTGATAGCCACTCGCGCAGATGGTCGCAGAGTGGAGCGCTCGAACAGTGTGCCGACGCTCAGATGGTAAGGATATACCCGGCGCTGGGAGTCGCATGGTGAGGAATGGGGGCTGGCAGCTGCGTGCGAGCTGCTAAGTAGCGAGCATGCAGTTCACGGCGTAGTAAAGCTGGCATACCGTCGTAACCTGTGTGGACTATGGAGCGAGTGCGAAATGAATCATTTTCCTCACCTGTGCACCACGATGACGTAGCCAGGCCGCCTTCTCCAGCCTCCCCAGCCTCCTCTCCAGCCGCCAGTCCATCCGCCATGTCCTCCACCGCCAGTCCAGCCTCCGTGCCCTCCGGTCCACCCTCCGTGACCTCCGGTCCACCCTCCGTGCCCTCCGGTCCACCCTCCGTGCCCTCCAGTCCAGCCGCCGTGCCCTCCGCTCCAGCCGCTGTGCCCGCCGTGGCCGTGCGGCACATGGTACACGACGTAGTGCGGTCGGTGGCGTCCTGGCCGCGCCCAGTTCAGCTTGCTGATGGTGCCGGAGGCCTGCAGGTCGTCCTCGGTGGACGAAAAGTCGGAGAACGCCGCCGGAGGGCTCTCCTGGTCCGGCTCCACCGGGGCGGATAGCGACACCGCCGCCAGCGCGCTCACACAGGTCAGCAAAGGTAGCTGAAACGGGAGGAAAGACAATGGAATGGAAACAAATCTAACAATGAAAAAGAAACACGGTAAAAAGCGCGATGAAGCAGTAATGAAGTGTAAACAATAGGGCAAACAATACTGAATTAAAGCAATTGGCATCCACACCAGCATGTGCCACGCAGCATCGTAAGCTACATAATCACTGATCACTTTCACACCTAAGATGATGCATAACAGCACAGTCTCTGCATCGGCTTAAGCATACGAGTAGTTGAAATGACACTCAAAGTGCAATAAATTCAAAAAGTTCTGTGCGTTGTAATGTGTTTACGATTATGCGTGGTCGCCGTTTCACAGTCGCCGCCACACACTCACCAATCTCATGATGGCTGGAGTCGGCTGGTCTTGGTGAGGTCACTCTCCCCTTCTGTGCTTCTCCGGTCGGCATCTCCGTCTATATAGGTACCGCCTCCTCCGCCTCCCCGGCTGCGATTTTCCGTCCCGCCGCCCTTCAGACGAAGAGCCGAGGGCCGTTCTTGCTGATGTTGCGTACACTGCGCGCGCGATCATCCCGCCAGCGGCGACAAACCCGACGCTCTGCGCTGACCGAACCGTCAAAACGGCGCGGTTTTGCGTGCGCCGCGAGCGTGGACTGCGGCAAAAACAGGCGCGGTGTGTCGCGTCAGAGGTGAGTTGTCTGCATACCAAGCTTCGGTGACAGACCGGTGTCGAGAGCCGATGTTTTCATCAGTGACGGCATGGAGTGGAGTTACTCTGGCACGCGTTTCACTCGCTTTAGCAAACAGTTACACGTTTTAGAAACAGTTACATGGCTGATAGCAGCTCTCTGTGGCCTTGGTTCAATAATCAGTACCTAATCACCCTTTTTAATCAGTTGTGCCCTTCTGCCAGGCCATTAGTTTTTGTAACAAAATGAACGCCATAAGTGTGCACAATTACTCAAAATTGGACCTGTGACGCAAGCTCCTTAGTCCGTAAATCCGTTTCGACAGAAAAAGCGGGCTAAAATGGTGTGTAGGTATCTCAAACATTTTGAAACCGAGACAGGAGACGGACACACATTTAGCGACCAAGACCGCGAGCCGCCAACTCAATCCACCAAAAAGCCGTTTGACCAACCAATCCGCCACTTCCTGATGGGGAGGATGGGGAGGGGGGGGGGCGTTAAACGCCCCATACATTTTTGTCACGCATATAGGGGAAGCGGGGGTAACACCGCCACTGTGAGAAACACCGCCACCCCATCTGGCGGCGAAAGTATGAAATGTGAAGTGTAAAAATCCGTTATTTCCTATTGACCGCACGCCGGTAAGCGTCTTCTGATTTGTGTTTCGGTGTTTCAGTGTAATCGAAGCTCAATGTGGGCATTTCAAGAAAAATGCACATTCTCTTATAAAAATTCGATGAGTTGGGAGCACTTTTGAATGTCTTTAAGTAGAGACTCATTTTGATTTACTTGATTACATCGAAAAATAACTGATCGGCTTTGTCCAGTAAGATAAGTTTGCTTGAACCGTGTAGTACATTCTTACCGCTGGCGATTTTTGCTTGTGATCACTTATTGGGGAACACCGCCACCCCGTGGCGGTGTTACCCCAATTGAGGTTGCGGTGTTTCCTGTTTGTAGCGTGATAAGTGATGAAACTCCAAAGACACGCTTTATTTATGTTCGTAGGTGTTCCTAAGTCGGGAATAAGCAGCTTATTTGATTTTTTACTTTATATTTTTCATGCATCCCGACCAAGCACTTGCCAGCTGTATAAAACTGGCAAACAGCTGATGAACCTATACCTATTTAGGTGTCCATTACCGATTATTTGCGAAAATTACCACTTACCGACAGGAAACTCATCGCACACGATCTCTGAACAATTAAAAGCTTTCGTAGGAATGGGTTGGGTTAACATCAACACCGGTGGCGGGGTTACCCACAAAATTTGTAGGCAGCAAATATGCAAGGTATTTTTAAAAGTCGTGATACATGAAAACCTTTTAGGAGCATGCAAAATAAGTGCCTAAAACAGGTGAGAAAATGTTTAAATATTGTAACCAAAACAATAACTACCAAGAGACTTCACACATATTCTCTCATTTTGGCGAAAAGCTTAGGGGGGCGGTGTTACCCCCGCTTCCCCTAGTGAAAAATGGCGCACCGCAGTCGCGCCAACTTTTGGATTCTTATTACGAATTAAATATTTATCTCTATACGAATTGAGTGAATTCACTGAATTTTATTATTATAACAAAGTTTAAAAACGGCTCATTTTTTTCAGATAACAAGGCGTCATGAATGATAGGATTTCGACAAGAATTACACGTCTTCGAAGAAAAAAGAGTCGTATGAACGCACGAAATGGACATACAATACATACAAGCTCGAAACGTCATTAGCCTGCCATATCCTGTGAGATCAAATGGCTATCTTCAATTTCCTTTTATTCTTCCCTATTTTCCAAAACTTCGAACCGAGTGTTCGGTCTTAACCCGCGCCCGGCTGGGGGTCCTGGATTTCCACGCCCTGCTGGGGGGGGGGGGGTGTTTGAACACCCCCGCCATTCTAACTCTGCTCCTGGGCCACGTAGCGATACGCGGAAGGCGGCGTTCGAAAGAGCGTCAAAAATAATGACGAAATCACTTCAGTCAATTTTTTGGTCAGGTCAAAGGTCAGGTCGCCAGAGGTCATTGAAGGCAAAATTTCGCCGATTTCCAGCGTCGAATGTCGAAAATTTCCAAGAAGCCAACGCATAACTCGGGAACCAATAGAGCTACAGCGCCGCAGAAAAGCGCATTCGATAGCCCATATTAACCCTATTAGTGGCAGGGGGGTTGTTTTCATCCACCCCTCAGGTTTTTCGGGAATATCTCCGAAACCGCTGCAGCTACGATGCAGAAATTTTCTGACTTTTCCTAAAACTAAATTGGGCACATTCCCTGAAAATTTCAAGTTCATAACTTTGCCAGGGGCGGCTCCAGAGCACTGGGAATTGGGGGGTCCTATTCGTGAAGCGAGTCATTTGGGCAAAGATCACGATGCTGATGTATTATAACTGTATGCACAAGTTTTACGAACAGTGAATGAAATGTATCATGTGATAACATATACAAAGTTATTGTGCATCCTCTTTTGACACGTTTTTGCTATAATAGGCGGATCCAGGCGTCCAAAAAGGGGGGTTATGTTTTACCTCCCAACATAGGTACCCTGACACCGCCTATGCATGACCAATACAATTGTAGTCGTTCTCTCATAAGAAAATTGTAACATAACAAGACCATTACCACCCTTTTTAGAAGCAGTACGAACAAAACCTTATTTACTATACTTTTTGTGTACCCCTAATCTCAATGATCTGTATCCGCCTATGATTTTTGAAAATGCATACTTTTAGGATCCATGTGAATTCCTGGTTCATTCTCTATCGATCGGCAAAAGTTGCGTTAAGATTGGTTCAGAAACCTGGCCGTGATAAACAGTCTAAAATGTATCTGCAATTTGCACGTTTTTACCCCCTCTACCCCCCTATTGACATTTTTTTAATTTTTATTTTTTAGAAATGTAGATCACGTTGAGCGAAATCGAATGCCGTTTGAATTTTGAAAATCGGTCCGTTAGATCTCGAGATATCAAGGGGGGGGGGGCGTAAACAGCCCCCCCTGCCACTAATAGGGGTAGCCAGGAGCCTGCCACTAATAGGGTTAACGCCCGTCGCCCTTTCTGAGTAATACTCTCAGATTTGACATAACGTCAACGGTTTTGCCTGCAGGGGGCAAAAACTGCAAAAATAGCCGATTTTTCGGAAACAGTTTTTCTGCAATAACTTTTGACCCAAGCCTTGTACGAGCTTACTGTCACCGGCATTGTGTTCCTCTCGTCAAGACGCATCGAATGAACTATAATTTGACCTTGAAAGGTCAACTTGAAAATTTGACCTCAGGTCAAGGTCATGACCTGACCGGAAAGGGTCATGTTGCATATCAGTCGATCCGTATCGTCGAGCTGAGCACATATAAGGCGTTTTCATCGCTCTAGCATGCCTCTATCAAAAGGTATTTGCGAAAAACTGTTAGATACCATTCGTGACCTAAGATGACCTCAGGGCATAAACAAGGGTCACGGACACCATTTTCATGTTCAGTGTGTCTAAACCACTTGTAATTCGGTGTTTGGGAGTGTTTATAATGTCTTTCATCCAAAAGAGGCGCATTTCAATTTTCTCTCATTGACTTATAATGGGGAGGTCGCAAAATTGACCTGACCTTAGGTCACTGATATCAAAATTCTGAGATATACATTTTGTACATGCTATTGCTCTTAGCAATCGCTGAAAGTTTCAAAGCGATCGGTCACTCGGTGTAGCTACGACAAACATTGAAACTTTTTATGAGGTGAGGTTACTTCAAGTGACCTGATGACCTGACCTTGAATGACCTTTTTCTGAAATTTTCACAACATGTGTAAAATTGATGTATGATAAGGTGTACCAAAAACGGCGCCGCGGAGCGCCGCCGTTTTTTAGATATTCGCGAAAAACCACAAGGGGGGTGTTCAAACACCCCCCCCCCCCAGCAGGGCGCGGGTTAACGTAAAAAATACAACCATTTTGCACCCATTTGTAAAGTCGAACTGTTACCAAAGCTATGCTCATGTGATGGAAGGAAGTCACCATTGAGTTAAACGCTTAAAATCACGGTCAAAACAAAAGCCGATTGCCTTGAAGGCCAACAGTGTTTTCATTTTTAGGAGAATGTCCTTACTTCTAGCCGTTCGCCGTCTTCATTTCTCGCCGCGTCGAGACGACATCCCACCTGATGGATGACATGCGAACCGGGTCACAGCCGTCACGGCCGGCCCGCCTCGGCACGGCGCTGAGACAGACACCCGGGGCGACACGCGCCCCGTCCCGGCCAGCGCCTGTTCTTGTGACGGCGAGTGCCACTAGATAAAAACACCTGCGATTGCAGTCGGTGATGCACACGAGATAGCCGCACTTTCATCCGTGCCGCCCCGAGCTCGAGGCTGGTGACACTAGTGCGATCACTTGAAGAGAGGATGGCGTACCTAACTATGGATTATGTGACTGGTGTAAATAACTAAAGAAAAGTAGGTAGCATGAGTTTTGAAACGTTTCTCTGATTATCTCTGATTCCGTGTATTTAGGTATCTGATTTTCATATTCGATTTTAGTGATACCTATCAATAGTAAGATGGGTCAATTTTGCGAGCTCTTCATCAAAAGTCAAAAGGAGAAGATAAAGGTATTGCTGGAACGAACAATGTCATTTCGCGCATTAAAGGAAGGGTGCCACCTTCCGAAATTTTTGTTTTATGAATCTATTTTACTTATTTGAATTTTTAGACGTGGTTAGCGCGTCCACAATATACAAAAAACCGAAACATTGCATTTAATACATTGGCCAAAAAAAAGATCGTTGTTTATATCACCACTACAACTCAAGGTCGTTTGATGTGGCAGCTAGGACGGCTGGCATATCCTGTTGTCATGGCAACATATCATTCTGCCATTTGCATTGATGGCGCAACTGAGACAAAAAGATGAACAAATAAAAAGGAAGAAGATAACATGATTTGAACTAAGTTGTAGTAAGTAAGTTGAACTAAGTAAGATACGTCAAAAGAACATCAAATAAGTCGAGTAAAGGTTTTTCCTTTACAATGCTTAAGAGATCTATGGAACCCTTCACCCTTCATGCAACTTACTAGAAAAACTTCCCAATTAAAATTTTAAAACTTAAGTGTATACCATAAAGAAAAAATATACCCTTTCAAAATGATAAAACATGCTTCAAAAGTATAACTTTTATACATACCTTTGCTGATTTCATGTTTTATAAAATACCCTTAACACGACGAGGAAATAGTGCTGAAGATTTTTGCCTGCCCGAATGCTGGCAGCAAAACTCGCAAATGATAACTTCACGTGCGGATTCAATGCTGACCGTCTCGAGCATAGGTAAGTGAAGCCGATTTTTAGGTTCATGTGAGGCTAATCTTGTAAAAACTGCGTTGTGTCCAAAAGGTGGCACCCTTCCTTTAACCCGCGCCCCAGTGGCGGTCTCCGCCAACTTCGCCCCAGTGAGGGGGGGCATATGTTACCACCCACCTCTAACTCAAAAACTAAGAGAGCTAGAAAGACGCGGTAAAAAGCAGTCGATAGCTCTTGATGCGTACGTTTGAAAGTATTTCGGTCATTTTTTCATCTTAGAGCAATATTGGGGTCACCAGAGGTCATCAAAGGTCAAAATTTGCGAATTGTCATTATATTTTTCAGAAAACATGCCATTATCTCAGGAACTATGATAGCTAGAAAAACGCTGGGAAAAGCAATCGATAGCTTTTGAACTCTTCTTTTGATAACGTCATCATCAAAAATGACCTCAGTTCAACGGTTTAGCCTCCAGAGGGCAAAAACTCCAAAAATAGCTGTTTTTAAGAAAAGTGTTTTTCGACAATAACTTTTGACTAAAAAAAGCTAGGTCATTTATAATGCCAGAATCGTGTTCCTCTCGCCGAGACGCGTCGAATGAACTATAAGTTGACCTTGAAAGGTCAACTTCAAAATTTGACCTCAGGTCAAGGTCATGACCTGACCGGAAAAGGTCATGTTGCATATCAGTCGATGCGTCTCGGCAAGACAAACACAATGAGGCCAACCCCAGCGTTCTATCTCTTTCCAATCGAGAGTTATTGGCAAAAACTGTTTGTAGCCGCAAATGACCTCGGATGACCTTTCAAGAGGCTATCAGCAAAAAAGACACCTTGGTCGTCACGGGTGGTCCAAATCATTGTTATCCTGAAATATTTGGACTGTTCCTATGCGTACACACGGATCTAGAGGCATTTTCGTTTTTCTCCATTGACTTATAATGGAAAGGTCACGCCACTGACCTGACCTTAGGTCACGCATATAAAAAATCCGAGATATACAAATTGTAGGCACCCATAACATCATGTAATCCACCAAGTTTGAAACCTCTCTGACAAACACTGCAGGCTGGACATGATTGCAAACTTTTTTTAGGCTTGGTCAGTTAACTTGACCTGGTGACCTGACCTGACATGACCTGGGGTCAAAAATTTCACACATTGTCCAAAATTGATGTACCAAAAGCTACCCCAAGCGGCGCGGCGCTACGCGCCGCGGTTTTTTATTTATACGAAAAAAACGCGACAGGGTGGTAACATATGCCCCCCCCCACTGGGGCGAAGGTTAAGCAATGCTTGAATTTGATATGAGCACGTTTAACCCGCGCACCGACGGGGGGGGCGGATATCCGCCCCCCCCCTGAGGTTTTTCGCGAATAGCGGGAAAACCGCGGCGTGTAGCGCCGCAAAATTTGGTATGACCATAACCTCCTCAATTTTACACATGGTGTGCAAGGTTGAACCTCCTACCTTTTAAGGTCAGGTCACCAGGTCACTTTGAATGACCCAACCTCAAGTCACTTTTTTGCAACTTTGTCACCGTGCCAGAGCTACAGTAGATGTCGGAGGCCTTTGAAAGTCGCAGGATATTATAAGGTCATTAGTAGCTACAATTTGTATATCTCGGAATTTTGATATCGGTGACCTAAGGTCAGGTCAATTTCGCGACCTCCCCATTATAAGTCAATGGGGGAAAAATCAACTCCCTGTTTTTACCACTAAAACGGGTCGGAATCGCCCCATATACCATACATGACTTCATATACGATCAACCTTCACTACCTTGAGGTCTGTTTTGCTGTTGGGCAGCTGTGAGGTCATGTGACGTCATCAAAGGTCACCAAAGGTTTTTGGCCAATAACTCCGTACAGGAACAAGATACAGACGCGTGGATGGTCTCATTGTATTCAGCTCGTCAAGACGCATCGAATGATATACATGATGACCTCGAGGTCACGTGACCTGAGGTCAACCTTTGACCTTGACCTTTCGAGGTCAACATATATATCATTCGATGCAGATTGACGAGAGGATCACGATGATGCCCTTAGTTTGTTCCTATCTTGACTAATTCGAAAGTTATTCGAGAAAAACCATCTCTATATATAGCGACGCCATTTTGACTTTTTCGACCCCTGTGACGTCATCTTTGAACTGACCTGAAAATGACCTTAGTAAAAATTGTAGATCTTGGCCGTGCGTATCCGATGCCGTTTACCGCTTGTCGCTATCTTGCTTCGTTCTCGAGATCTCAGGGGGGGGGGCGGTCATCCGCCCCCCCCCCCGTCGGTGCGAAGTTGGCGCAGACCCCCGTCGGTGCGCGGGTTAAGATGATTGTACTGCTTTCGTGTGTCTCTGCCAAAAGGTTCAGCTGCTGGTGTTGTTTGCACGACCTGTGTTGATCTCAATGCAATCATGCGGGCCATTGGTGTGCTGTTTTGGCTTCAGTACCTAACAGGGGCGGATCCAGGAATTTTCGGGAGGGGGGGGCGGCAAGTTGAAATAGGGGCGACCTGGCAATCCGGGGGCGCCAAACCGTCGTCAAAATCGAGAGTTACAACCCACGCCGTGCGTTGTCACGTCCCCCTAGGTTTTTCGCAAATATCTTTAAGACGGCTGCGCGCAGCGCCGCCGTTTTAAAGATATTTGCGCCCAACCTCTGCTTGGATCGCCCATCCGTCATGGGGAGGCTCACTTTGCTGAAGTCGCCTTATTTCTTCTAAGAACGACCAATTTGCTGTAGGCGGCCCACTTATCTGGGACGCCCATTTTTTTGCTAGAAGTGCCCCTCTTCTTCTTGATGCGTCCCGCTTCTACTGGGAGTGCACCTTTTCTGTTAGGGCACGCCTTTGCTGCTGGGGAGTCCCCTTTTCTACTGTGAATGGGGCGGCCCTTTCCTGTTCGGCGACCCCAAATTCTGCTGGGGGTGCCCCATTTCTGCCCAACTTTTGCTGGGGTGCCCCTCTCCTGCAGGGGCACTTATCTTTTGCTAGAGACGCCTCTTCGGGGGGCGCCCTTCCACTGCGGGGGACGTCTCTCTCCTGCCAGAGGCATCCCTTTTCTTCTTATGGGGCTCCTCTTTTTGCTTGGGCGCTCCTCTTCTGCTCGGAGCGGGGCACCACTCTCCTTTTACTGGGGCACAGCCCCTCTGCTGGGGTTGCCCTTCCGCTGCCTCAGGGGCGCCCCTCTTGTGCAGAATATACTCCTTTTCTTCTTGTAATGAGGCGCCCCTCTTCTACCGGGGGCGCCCATCTGCTGCTGGGGCGTCTGTCTTCTGACGGATATTGTCAATGGGGCGCCCCTATCCTGCTTGGCGAGCCCAACCTCTGCTGAAGGCTCCCCATCTCTGATCAACTTTTGCTGTGGCGCCTCTCTTCTGCTGGGGCGCCCCTCTTCTGCTGAGGGCGCCCCTCTCCTGCAGGGGGCTCCTCTCTTCTGCTGGGGCGCCCGTCTCCTGCTGGAGGCTCCTTTCTCCTGCTGGGCCCCCTCCGCTGCCAGGGGCGCCCCTTTTCTGCCAGTGGCACCCATTTTTTATTATGGGGCTTCTCTTTTTCTTTGTTGGGGCGCCTATCTGCGGTTAGGGCGCCCCTCTTCTTCTTGGAATGGGGGCGCCTCTCTACTTTTGCTGGGGCGTCGCTCCTCTTCAGGGGGACACCTCTCCTGCCAGGAGTGCCCCTCTTGAACAGAAGGCATCTTTTTATTCTTGTAATAAGACGCCCCTCTTCTGCTGGGGGCGCCCATCTGCTTCTGGGGCGACTCTGATCTGCTGGGAATGGGCAATTGGGCGTCGCTCTCCTGCTTGGTGAGCCCAACTTCTGCTGGAGGCGCCCTATTTCTGCTCAACCTTTGCTGTGTCGCCTCTGTTTTGCTCGGGGCGCCCTCTCTGCCGCGGGCTATGGGCGCCTTTTTCGGATGTCGGGGGGGGGGGGGGGGCGGCCGCCCCTGTCGCCCCCCCCCCTGGATCCGCGCCTGGTACCTAATCAAAAGACACCTATTATCATCATTCGCTAGTGCTAAATACGTTTTTCCTGTAGAAACAAGCATAGTTGACATTGAAGCAAATTTTCAAGTTTAGCTTGTAATGATAACCTAGCTCATTAGCCGCGTCTCCACATGAGGAACACGACGCTGTTCAAATCGATGTTGTAGCTACAAGCCTCGTAACAAAAGATGCTCGAATGAAACCGTTTCGGAGATCAATACAGTGTCAGTGCCTTCAGGTGAACCTTGCTGCCCCTGAAAGGTGACAGCACAGCCCATAGACCGCCAGCAGGGACTGACGATTGTTGAAAACGGTCGGCAGCCAGACGAAACGGAGTCAACAAACAAAGTCAATAAACGAAGACGCTCCGGTCCCTCCGTCGTGAATGCACTCTACAATATTGTCAATGGAATGTTGACATCGGCTCGGACCTAAAGAGTGAAGGCGCAATAAATTTCCAACAGCAGTGACGGCGGAACACCTTCAATTAAGGGGGGGGGGGGCACTGCCGACT